TAATAATTATTTTGAAATCAATAACTTATTGAATTTAACTCAATAATTATTAGTCAGTATTTTTATCAGCAGAATTGCAGAATTTGGTTTATATAGGTTTGTAAACGAACCTTAAATTTTAATAATTATTTTATTTATTATAAATGCATATAAAAATGATTTAAAGAGAAACTAACAATAGCAGTCATAGGACATGTTCAGACACATCTCTTTGTATAAAGTTTAGTTCTAAATTTTAAGTAGAGTGCTGAAAATCTTTCTTTAGATTTGGTCAGTACATTTCTATGTTCTTTAAGTCAAACAACTAACTCACCTCATGCAATAATATGATTGGTTAAAATAATCATTTAAATATTATAAAAAAGGTTTTACTAAGTAAAGGTTTTTTCCTCTATGGTTAGATTATTAAATTGGCTTGGTGAATCCCAAGATACTTAACATGGCGGACAATCCCAAATTTAGATGATCGGCATTGTGGCTTAGCCTATTTAATAAAAAATTTTTTTTGACTTTTTATACAGTTTAAAGTACTTTTTGCACCCGTGATTTTTTAAAAATTACAAGTAACATTTAACAAACAAAAGAAACAATAGAAACCTCTCTATATAACCCGTATTTTATTAAAATTAATCAAAAATAATCACAGTATTGATGATTTTTTATTAGAAGTAACTTTTATAAGAAATGGATGGCAGATCAAGTCAAGATTAAAGCAAAAAGTGCACTGTGAAGATATACAAGAGCATTTCTGCAACAACCTTCAGAAAAATAACCAGCAACATGTTAATCAAGGCAGAATCTAATGAAACCTTGGCTTCATATTATAGAGATCATAAAGATGAGTATATTTGTTCTATTTGTTATAATGTAATTGTAGTGAATAAAATGATTGCTTTTAAGGAACATGCTGTAGAATAAGAGAGATATTTAAAAAGACATAGAAAGAATAATATTCTTTCTATATCTGAAAGTATTTCTGTATTTACTAAAATTATTTTTAATTGAGTAAATATAAAAATAATCTACCCATGGTTTTATTTTCTTAACTTCGATCTATCACCAAAAGTAAAAATGGACAATTAAGCTTTTTCTTTAATAAAATTGAAGCTATGACCTGTTTGGAAAAAAAAAGTAAGACTAAACAAAAAGAGCTTGATCAATCCATGGCATATTAATATTACTTAATGTGTTAGAACCAAAGTATTGCTATACTACTTTGAAATTTAAAAGATGAATTCATAGAAGGCTATAATAATCTCACATAGGTAGAAGATATTAATATTTTGACAAAGCTTTTGTATGATAGAGAAAAAAACAAAGAACTAGCAATTTATAGTTTTAGATAGCTACAAAAGGAAAAAGTAACTAAAAATTTTAGGTTAAGTAGTTTTTTTGATTCTAATTATAATGCTACTCTTTTCAAAGACAAAAGTGGCAAATACTTGAATAAGCGAGATAAAAAATTAGCAATTGAATATTATATTATCTATAGTAAACAAAATTCTAAACTAATAGCATTTAAAAAACATATCACTTTTTGTAGATTTGATTAGAGTTTCTACAGAAGCTATAGATGCTTTATTTTATACTAGTATAATAATTTTACAAAGGTATTTGACAGAGAAAAGACAGCTATCACTGATAATTATCTGCATAAAATTGCTTCATATATCAAGAGTAAAAAAAGCAATGCTCTAGTGCTTAACATAGATAATTATTATAGTATTTACACCAAACAAACCCCAATACTTGTTCAACATCAAGTGCAGCACATATGACAACCTTGTTGCCAAATAATATTAATACAATAGCTATTCTACAAATTGCACCTAATAGCATATCAATTCTACAGATCAAATAAAACTATATCAGGAACTAAACAACTAGTTAAAAACTAGAAACATATCAGGTTTTGATATGTCTCCAGTTTTTTATTTTTAAATTAGTTATATATTAGGCACCTAATATAACTATAGAAATTGCAATAAATTATTTTGACAAAGCCTAATTATATTGAGCTACAATTTGTAACTTTATAAATAATTCTATAGAGCTATCAGCGCATCTATATGTCACTGGAATTTTACTAATACTATTAGCACAAACTGGTAAAATTTATTATAGTTATTAGTAATTCTATATATCTCTGAAATTTTACCAATAAATATAAAAACTATTAGCACAATTTAGTAAAATTTATAATATTTATTAGCAATCCTATATGTTTCTAGAATTTTACTGAAAATTTACTGATATATATAAAAAAACCAAAGTATTAGAACTTAATAATACTAAGTATTTCTTATATTATATACTATTAATCAGCTGTATTAAAAATATATTAAAAATTTTTAATATATTACAAAGTTTAGAATTTGAATATAAAGAATTATATAAAACAACTGAGATATATATAACTTTAATATCATTTGTAAATATAATATTTATTTTATTTTATTTAATTTATTTTATTTTTTAAAGAATAGCAAAGAGATTATTTATAAAAAGCAAAATAATAAAATATAGTAGAAAACTATACAAAATACTTTGTTTGTAGAGTCAAAACTTTTATTAATTATTTTATATTCAAATGCAACAAATTGTATTATATTGAATAAAATTTAGCTTTATCTAATATATATATTACTAGGAAATATATCTATATAGCAAAGAAATAAGCAGAATACCAAACTGTTATTAGGTTATTTGCCAATAATCAAAACACTAATAGTTAGACAAACTTTCTATAAATATTTAAAAATTTTATTAAAATTACAGTTTAATCTCTCTATAGTCACCTCCTATATAAGCTTATTTTCAAAATATACATGTTTTTTTTAAAAGCAAACTACTATTAGATACAAGACATATCCTCTTGGTTATTGTTAATATAAATCAAATAAGTTGACTTACCTAAATTTATATATAAAATTTGGCAAAAAAATACATTTCTTTAATTTACTTAAAAAAATAAATATAAAATATAATTTTAAATATAAGACTTATATTCTTTAGTATTTAATACTTTTTTAACAAAAATTATAAAATTATATATCAAGTAGTTTTAAAAGGATCTTAAGCTAAAGTTGTTCAATTCTTTTCTATATTTTTTAAATCAAATGACTGACTTACTTAAGTAATAATATGATTGGCTAAAGCAATCTTTTAAAAATTAAAGAAAGTTGTATTAAGTAAAGGTTTCTTTCAGTTTTAGAAAAACTTGTAAAAAAGGTTTTTAGAATCCCAATAGTAGTTAAATCATTCAAATTGGCTTGGTGGATCCCAAGATTCTTGGGGTTAAAGGCACAAATATAGGGATCTGCAAAGTTACTATTACACAAAAGACAATTGTCTATTAGATGATTATTCTTTGTATAACAGATCCCTATGTTTGCACTTTTAACCCCAGGTATCTTGAGATCTACCAAGCCAATTTGGATAATTTAACTACTGTTGGGATTTTAAAAATCTCTTCTACAAGTTTTTCTAAGACTGAAAGAGACCTTTACTTAGTAGAACTTTTTTTAATTTTCAAAAGATTGCTTTAGCCAATCATATTATTACTTTAATTTTATAGAGGTTGTAAAAACAAAAAATACACTAACTTTAAAGCAAGATTCTTTTAAAACTATTTAGTATTTAGATTTATAACTTTTGTTAAAGAAACATTAAATAGTAAAGAATATAAGTCTCATATTTAAAATTAATTTTTATATTTACTTTATTGAATAAATTAAAAAAAAGTATTTTTTTTGTATTTGAGTGTTAACTCATTTGATTTATATTTGACAACATTTGAATTCCTGTAAGGGGACATGTCTCATACCTAGTATACATTTACAAAAATTAAATTTAAATAGTTTTTTTATATAATTTATATATTAAATTAAGATAAGTTAACTTATTTGATTTATAAGTAATAACACTCATATGAACATATCCTGTATATACATATTGGCAAAATTCCGACTTACTATAGTTTGGGATTTGTTTATCATCCCAAATTCCAAATTCCAAATTTTAGCAATGCTAATATCTTAAAAACTTTATTAATAATCTTTATTTAAACAAATTATATATATTCTTATAGTTATAAATAATATATTTACAAAATATTAAAATTATTTATTTGATTTAATTTTTTATAAATAGCAATTGTTTTTTTATTATTTGGAATTTGTCTGGGTTTTGCTAACAAGTATAATCCTGTGACTATATATGATAGATAGTAACAAAAATTTACAATAAATATAACTACTACTATTTAAATCATTTTTGTTACTATATTAATTAGTAGTTTAAAATATTTTGCAATTACAATAGATAATAACTGAATTTTTTACAATAAATCATATACAAATTATAATAAATTTATTTATCTGTAACTATTAAATTTATAGTAAATTATATGAATTCAAAATAAAACTAACTTAAATCACTTACTGGTAGCTACAAACTCATCTTAGTTTGGCTCAAGTATGCTATTGAAACAGTTCTTTAAGTATAGTAACTAAATTTTTTTTATAATAAATCACTATACAAATTATATAATCAAATACAAAGCAAACTTTTACTCTATATAAACTATTTACTAGCAATTACTTAGATGTTATCATGATAGTTTATTATAGTAAACAAATTTTTTAGTATACAAATTACAAAAATTTAATATAAAACTAATCTTAACCTATTTACTAGTAGTTACAAATTCATTCTAGCCTTGGCTTAAACATATCATCTTAAGTATAGAAACTAAATTTTTTATATTAAATTACTATATAAATTACAAAACTAACTTTAACTCTACCTAAATCACTTACTAGTGGCTATAATTCTTTTCAGTCTTGGTTTAAATTTATCATCACAATAGTTTTGTAAGTATTATAACAGAATTTTTTACAGTAAATCACTAATATCATAATATTTATGTTTAACACAACTATCTTTTTTATCAGAAGTATATTTCTCATCAGTTTCTGTTTGTTTGATTACAGTATCAACTAGTTAAATTTTTTCAGAAGTGCAAGTAAAAGAACAGATAAAACTTTCTCTTTGGCATCTAGTACAGGATTTACCAATATACTTATCTCTGCCAAGACAAACTGTTTTGTTAATTCTGCACTAAAGACAACTAAAATTCAAAGTAATACGTGTATCCGGACAAAAAGATATTTTGCCTGAATTAATATAATAAGATACATTATTTGGTTTAAATTTGTTTAAGATACATTCATCTCCTCTTTCAAACTGTTTTATAAAATTATCTGCTGCTGTAGTTATGCCTTTAGCTTGTTCTTTTATTTTTGCAAAGATATCTTTTTCTTGGGCTCTTCTTTTTATAAAGTTGGTAATTCTTGAACAAACAATTTATTATCCTTTTTATGAATTGCATCAAGAGTATAGCCAAGACGAAAAAACAGTTTAACATTAGATCCTGACATGTTTGAATAAAATTTAAAAGTTTAATAATACAATACAAAAAAACAACCCAACTATTTGCTTCTCTACCAACAAGCCTTTAAATAACAAATTATTACTTTGTTTAATTGACTATGTAATGCATCCAAACCTGTAATTTAAACTTTATAACTTACTATACTAGAGCACAATGGTTATTGTGTTATCTAATAAACTATTAATTGATTGGGTTAACAGAGTTAGAGATTAAAATATAGCTAACATTATACTTAGATTAAGAAATATGAGCCAATACTTTGTACCAGTTTCTGCTAATTAGTAATTAAAAAAACAACAACTATATTGTTCATTATACTTGGATTAAGCTAAAATTAACTTACTATAAGAATACTTGAACTTATAACTTTGTATTAACCTCTGACTTTAGTATATAGAGATAAACTCAATTTAATATAATCTTCTAAGCAATAATAATATCATCCTTGCTTAGTTTAGATATATTAAACATTTGAATATATTTTCTAATAGAAGTTTTATACATCTTATGAATATTGATACACACTATATCAATGACTTGACTAAGGCCTTGGTGTTTAGCTGCAGACTTTTATACAAATTACTATATTAGATTTAAGCTAAATAACTGTTGTTTATCTTTTTGATTTATAAATTACCATACTCTAATAGTAAGTGTCTACCATAGGTATATTACTAATAGTTAAAGTTTGACTAGTATTTTTTTAAAATATTTAAAACCAAGAGGCTACTTTGTATTATATATGCCTAAAAAATTATACTAAAATTATGACATATTAATAACTCTATAGTTTATTATATTAAATTGCTAAAGGTTATCTAACTAATCAGTATCCCAGATTAGATAGTAGTGGTAATAATAAAGTACAACAACATATAAATCTGATAATTATATGTTTTAGATAATAATCATTACTTTTTGTACCTTAGTTACATTATTGATTTTTTATTGTATTAAAGTATTATCTAAAGCAAAACAAATAGCATGAGTATATTTTCTCAAATAGTAATTAACTAAAACAAATAAGTATAGAACTTGTTTTGATATCTTGTTTTTATTATTGATAAGCTTGATATAACATAATAACAAAGATTTGTTATTCAATTAAAATATTTGTAGATACAATAGATATCTTATTTTATATATAAGCCACCTATCTGTGTAATATGATCTTAGCTAAAAGATTAAATATATAAAAACATGGCTTGTTTTATTGGCATTAAACAACAAAAACTGTCATTTTTACTATGCAAAATTCAAAATACCCAATAACCATTTCAGAATTGTGTATACAGAAGATCCCAAAAGCAAAGAATTAGTACCAATTCACATAATTGAAGATGATGATGATAAAGCAAATAATATCACTGATTTTTCAGATAATATTAAATTATCTGATCAAGTTATTTAATTAGAAAACAACAAAATTTTAATAGATTTACAAAATGATGCTAACTTGAGTTGGATATTGGATATTTATCAAGCAATTAAAGATTTGAATCTTCTTCATAATATACAAACATATAATTATATCCTTTATTTTGTATTACATTCTGATTCAGTTAAAGACTATCTTATGTATGTACTAGAACTATTTAAATATAATGATTTGTTTAATAAGCTTTATTTTTTAATTAGTTTTGGGTAGAATTAAAATGTAATTATTGGATTTATTATTATCAAAATAGAATAAATTACAGAATTCAATTATTAAGTAATAATAGTGAAACATTTTTATTTAATAACTGTGATTTGCAACAAGAGTTTAGTGGTATAAGAAGTATATACTGTTCTAATTTGTTTTTTTTAGTAACTTCAAACTGAGTTTGCTATTTCTTATTTGAATAATAATATTGTTATTAGCTATTATGTTATTAGATTTAGATAAATAGCTTAAGATTTTTTATATGTATATTTATTATGTATTATTACTAAAAATTTATTAATAAAGTATAGTCATCGGCAAAAGTAATGACTGATTTTTTTATTAAACGAATCTGCAACAAAATACAGGATTTTTTTTCATGTTTGCAATATATACATAAATTTTTTTTTTTTGCCTAATCAATATTTGCAATATCTACTCTTTGCATCAAATACTACTTTGATCCTTGTTGGAACTGAGTCTACAAACTCCAAAAAAACTAATTTATCTAATTTTGCCCACTCTTCAATTAGGGTGATTTTGAGATTGTTTATTTCTTTTAGAAAATTTTTTCAGCTTTGAATATTGTGCTTCAATACCTTCTAAATGTTTTCAATCAAATTAAGATTAAAAGATCTTGCAGGCTAGCTTAATTTAGAGATTTTTTTTTTTAAGCCAATTGGCTACTTTATGTATTGGCATATTGTTTTGTTGAAACATTATTTTTGCACTTACTAACAAACAAGATGCTTTAGCTCTTTTATAAAATGATACTAAATGGTCTTCCAGAACCTTAGTATATATTTTTTATTTATTTTTTGCTTTGGTCCTTTATACTTATCAAAAAAAACAAGGTGATCCTTAATCCTAGCAACAAAACAACTCCACACTATTACCAAACATCTACCACTTTTAAAACTTGGGGTTAAGCACTCATTTTTATACCTTTTACTTTCAAGGCACCATACTCTAATTTGGCATGATTGTTTACCAATTCTGACAGATGTTTCATTAGAAAATATTACATGCCGCCAATTATAGGTGCTATATGACAGGTATTTTTAACACCATTCAAACCTTTTCTTTATATTTTTGTCTGTAAGAAATGGCTTCTTTGCTGCTATACAAGATTAAACACCAAAGCTTCGCAGAGCTCGAGAAGCAGTTCTCAAACTGCACTCAAGCTTTAAATCATTAACTAGGGCACACAAAGGCTTGCGTCTTTTTTTTAGAGCTGCTTCTGCTAGAGCATTTTTTTTTTCGTTGTTTAAGGATGCAGGTCTTCCAGATCTTGGCAAATTTGCTATTTTCTTGGTTCTCTGGTACTTGGTAAAAAACCTTCAGATTGTGGTAGGGTTATGCTTCATTTCTTAGGCAACCTTCTGGGTGCTCATATAATTAATATAAGCCAGGATTTTTCCTTTTTCTTTATCTGTTATTAAAGTACTAGTTATGCTTATATTATACTTATTTTTTTTTTTTGCAGGTGCTTTGTGGGATATCAAAGTAATAAAAAAAAGATTTTTCCCATAAATTGCCATAAGAGATAAACATTATATATTTATATGATCATCGATTATACAATCAAAATTGGGTGTTACTTTTGCCAATGACTATATATGCCAGACTTATATATTAATATTTAAGCAATGTATATATATTTGGTTAATAATATTTCTTATACTGTACTACTAATAAATAAAAGTATAATTTAAAAAGTATTATTAAGTTTAATATAATTATATAAAGATCACGAGTTATAAACAGTTAATAAGCTTTGTTTAAGTTGTTAATCTAAGATTAGATGAGACAAATATATATTCAAACTAACAATAAAGTAATAGGAAGTTTTATTGATTGGTTAGTCATTTAGACAAAGGTATTTGTTTAATAAAGTAAAAGCATTTTACCAGATTAAGATGCAGCTATGATTAGCATATTTTAGACTTATAATATTTTCTTAGTCATATACTTAAGACACTTATAAAATTAGTTTGTGTATTGTATAATAATCATATATTAATAAGTTATTATAATTTAAAAAAATAATTATACTAATCAACATATTGTTCAAATCACTACTTAATACGTCAAGGTTTTTTATTATATCTATAGTTAGCAACTATCTAGGTTTATCAAAAATGTTTAGATAATATACTGATAAGCAAGTTTGATAAAAAGTTCTAATTGCCTAATAATTACAAATATAGTCAGGAGTTAAAATATAGAGTACCAAGTCAAGACTTTTTTAAGCAAGAGTACACAATCAAGTACTTCTTTTAACCATCTACACTCTGGGTATTAGTCAGGGTACTAAAGATGATTCTAGCTAAACTATAACTTGATTGTAATACCACTATAATCTTTTGCCTAGATTAGATATATCAAAAAGCATAGTCTTTTGTTTTTGGTAAGTAGATGTGGGTAGGAGTTTTTGTTTTAAGGTTTATTCAAATTACTCTAAAAGGTTTTATTCTAAAAGGTTTTATTGTATCAATCTGTTTAGAAGTATCAGAAGTTTAAAGTTTATTTATGAATTATCTACTCCACTTAACCTTTTTAGCTTTGACTTTGGGATAAATAAGGAGGTTTGGTATCTAGTATTAAATTAGTTAAGTTGAATAGTTATAGTAATTAAGTGTTGATCTTAAATTACGCTATGGCTCTTTTATAGTTTATAAAAACACCTCTTTGCACCTTGCTTAGAGCCTTGTATTTGAATATTGTAATACTATTTGTTTTTTTTACTACCATTTTTGTTACCCAAACTTTTTACTATAGTCTTATTAAAATACATTGTATTGGTTGCTTTGGCTCTTTATTTTGCTTTTGCAGTTGTTTTCTTTTATCTTGTCCTTTTTGAAGATTTTGCCTCCTCTAATGATCATGTCACTGTTAATCCTCCCCCCCTTCAAACTAAGATCTAAGAAAATAATGGCTCTTCTCCCGTGAAAAGGTCAAAACATAGTTTATAATAAAGACAAATTAATCAATTTTGAGGATAATATACACCAGGCATATCATTATTATGCTGATAAGGTTTTAACTACTTCTAAAAATGGTTATGACAAGAAAATTTCTGAACAAGCACTAGCACTCTATTGCTACTATGTAGCTCCTTTGGTTGATAAAGATAGCTATTCTGATAGTAAAACAATATATAACACTAAAGATATAAAAAAAGATATTTTAGCTAAGTTTGAAAAATGTATTAAGTCGAGTTTTGCTGCCTATGATAAAATTAGAACCAAGTAAAAAAGCAAAATATATAATTAAATATTCTTTTCTTTTTTTTATTATTATTTTTATTTTGGCAAAATCTTTTTATAATATTTGATTAT